TCTTGTAGGATTATTGTGAGATTTAGATGAGTTAATACATGTAAAGCTCTTATATCAGTGCCTAGCATATATCTGAGTGTTAGCCATTATTTTTATTCAGTCCCTCAGTTATATTGATTACTCATCTTTGCCCTCAGTATTTCTATGTATAGCACCCATTTTATGCCCAACCCAGGGCTAAGTACTGTGGGAGCCACAGAAGTATGGCATTGTCTCCAGAACATCACAGTGATAGGTGGGAGGAATGAGAACACGCCTTAAAAGGGAGGTGATGTGTAATTGAGTATTAACAGATACAGAGAGGTGCTGAAATTAACCAGAACCTGGAATCACTGGGGTGTGGAGGTCAGGGGAAACTGCATGGATAAGCTAAAACTGTCGCTGGAACTTAAAGACTGGCTATGATTTGTTAGATTAAAAATAGAGAGTATAGTCTAGGGAAAGGCGTGGCTGCAGGAATCACCAGGATTTAAGAGATCAGTCTAGCTGTGAAGTACTGGGTTAAGCACCAATGAAAGATATCCTATGAAAAACCTTGACTGTTACAAATAGGGATTTGAAAAATATGGTATAAGATGTGGGGAGCCATTGAAAGTTTTCAAGGTAAAGAGAGAAATGATGAAAACATGAAGCTTATTTTAGATTCCATCTGTAGTGTGATCTAGAGAGGAAGGTTGGATTCAGGGAGACCAAACAGAATGCTGTAGCAAAACCTAGGAGGAGAGTGAGAGCAGGCTGAATTAGCATGGTTGTGACGGGAGGAGAAGGAAATCCTGAGAGCACGACAAAGGGAAAACTGACAAGGTTCAGTAACTGCCTAGAGTCAGGGGATGAGGGGTACAGGAGAGAAAAATATGTTGATGAGGAGAATGATGGTGGTACAACAGGTGGAAATACAGTTGGGAAGGAGAGCCAGTTTGAGGGAAATGGATTCAGTTTTATTGATGAACATAAAGCAACCAGAAGGCTTATGTTTGAGTGGAAATGTCCCATAGGCAGGTGGGCAGACAGGTATCTGTTTTGACTTATTTCTGATCCCCCTGAAAATTGTGCATATAAACTAAATCGTTGTGGCTGAGGGAAGAGGACAAAGCTAAAGGTAAAGATTCAAAGCCATCCACAGTTAGTGGTTGAAACTGAACCTCAAGCACTTAACAGCTTCTTTTAAATGTGTAAGTCATGGATGCATTCTCACTGTTTAAAAGAAAATGTCATAGAAGTATACAGGCTAAAATGTGACATTCTCTCCCCACCCTCCCTCCCACCCATAAGATAACTATGTTACTATTTGGATGTGTGTCCTTCCTTCCAGTCTCTTTCCTTTGCATTTTTTCCCCTAAGGAGGTAATAACTTTACTCCTTGCTCAGTGACCTGTGCTTTTCTTTATGCAATATGTCTGAGAGATATTTCCATCTTAGTCTCTAATTTCTAACTGCCCTTGCCCTTCCAATACCTGGAGAGATTTAGAGAGCACTGAGCCAAAGCTTTGGTGTTACCTGGCATAAGATTTCTTTACTCGCTGCTCATGATACATTTCTGCCATTTTTATCATTGATTTGTAGGAGTCATTTTAGACACATAAGTGACTTTGGGAGAAAAAAGACTTACATTCAAAACATTTGGCAATATATATCCAAGAAATTGGACGGATAGGAAGTTCAGGTTCTGAGGAGATGCCTCATTGCTTGTGCCAGTGGTGTCACATTATATCTTTATTGTATCTTTAGGAATTGTGCCCACTAGGAAGCTGAGAAGCTGTGGGAGTTAGAAAGCTGGTCTTTTCTGCATTGAGTATTCCCCACAATGTTGCCATGATTCTCTCACTTATTCTGCTCATTCTCTCCCTACCTATTTAAGGATATGAACTGTGTTTCTTCACAGAGATTTCCGAGGAAACTCAATTTCTTACGTCGATGAGAATACCTGGAAGCCTTACCGCTGGACGGAGAAACTGTGAGTATATTCTCTCCAAATATGCATACAAAACACTGACTGCCTTGTCAGATTCTTCTTGGTCCAGAATTCCGAGGTCAACAGCTGTGTTAAAAGGTATTTCCCCCTTCACATTCCAAACCAAACTATTGATTGAAATTCTGTTTTTATTTAAAAAATTAAACTTGGCAGGCCCTCATTCAAATAAGCAAGAACCAACTTAAACTTATTTTCCATTATACCAATAATACATGATTATATTCTCCATATAGAAGAATGAAATAACATGTGTAGTGAAAACCCTTCTTGTGCCTTAATCCCCCACCCACACAATTTGGAGTTTAGTAAAACAGTCCTTCCAGACTCTTTTCCATGTATTTGACTACATACATATTTACAGATAACAAAATAAGTTAGTTGTGTGACTTTATTATATCTTTTTCCTTAAGTGATAAAATCTTGCAACATGATTCTTTAATGTCATGATACATCTTAGATTTCTTTCCCTCCCAGTACATAGAGGGTTGCCCCATTTATTTAAACTCCTGCATAATATTCCATAGTATGGATGCATCAGTTTAATAATGCCCGTATTGAAAGGTGTTTAGATTATTTCCAGTTTTCTTGTTACAAACACTGCTGCAATGAACATCCTTGTGCACGCATCTTTGTGAACCTGTCAGGTATTTCTGTAGAATAGATATGTAGAAATGGGATTGTTGGGGTGAAGACTATGTAGAGACAAACTTCTAATTGCCCTCAAGCAAGTTGTGCCAGTTTACACTCCAGTCAGCACTCCCTGACGGCCTTTGTTTCCCCACACCCTTCCACTGCTGGATAGTCTCCATCTTTTGGGCTGATCTGAAGGGTGAATAAAAGGGCTTCCATCTGAATTTGAATTTTCCTGAGTACCTGTGAATTTAAATATCTTTATATGTGTGCTGAGCATTTGTATTTCATCTCCGAATTGTCTGTCCTTTACTCATTTTTCTATTTTTTTAAATTGATTTGTAGATAAGTCAGGTTAAAGAAGATAATGATTTTAGGGGGAAGGCTATATTCAAAGCAGTTAACTGGCATTTTTCATGGCAGTTTGTATTATTCAGCTTGAATAGACAAATCATAAATATAACTTCCAAATTGCATTGTTGAGAAGATATTCTACATCTTTTTGTATTAAGTCTTCAAAAATATCCAAAGTATTGTCATATCTACCTGTAATCTGTATAAAAATTAATGAGAGAGTCTCCATAGTTTTTGTCCGTACTAACTCTTTGAAATCTCAATTTTGTTGCTAAATTTTATTTGTATTTAGATTTGTTAAAATTTGCAGTTGAAAAGTTGTATCACATACCCAAATTGTTGCAAACACACTTAAAGTTTTCCGATAATTACATTGAGTATCAGTTTTTACATTTTAATTTTAAAAATAAGTAAATTAAATTAGAATTCAACTCCTTAGGCACATTAGCCACTCAAGTACTCAGTAGCCACATGTTGCTAGACATGCAGCACTACATGCTACATGCAAGAATAAAATAAATTTACAAAATATTGTTGAATGAAAGAACATAGAGAATAATACATAAATCATTCCACTCACATAAAAGTTCAAGAAGCAAGAATAAATTATATTCTTTGTGGCTGATGTATAAAAGGCAGAACTACATTTGAAAAGGAAGGGAAGTAGTATTAAAGTCAGGGTAGTGGTTCCCTCTAGGGAGAGGGCTGCAGTTGGAAAGGAGCACAGCGGGGGCTCCGGGGGCGCTGGCTGTGTTCTTTCTTGACGTGAATGGTGTTACATGGGGATTTCTAATTATTAAAGTGAACAGGTATGTATATTTTACGTATATTTTAATTTTGAAAAAAAATTTCAGTGGGGAAAAAAAATCAAATGTCTTCATTTCCAGCCCTAATATACTCTGTCTGGGACTTCCTGATACAGTTTGGGAAAAGCGAGAAAGGCATGGCAGCTCTGCAGCATCAGTGCTGCCCAGAGTTCGGTTCTAACCAAGGACTTGTGATCTGAAGAGTAGGCATTAAATACATGATTTGGTGAGGAAGAGTGGATAGGGGTGTGCGTGTGCGTGCGTGCGTGCGTGCTTGTGTGTGTGCGTGAGATGGAAAGAGATGGACACAAAGGTAGATGTGAGAAGAAATGATTAAATGAAACCGGAGTGGAGAACACCATGTCTAAAATAACAGTTAGGGTATTTAGGTGGCACCGTTACCCAGGTTTCCCCTACATATATGAGTTAGTCCTATGTAGTAAATAATTGTAATTGTTTTGCATTTTGATCCAAAAATACCTTTTCGTTTTTCAGAATTCTCAGAGATAATTCTTTGACTGAGTTACGTAAGGATTCATTTAAAGGCTTGCTAGTCCTCCGGTATTTGTAAGTTAATTAGTTAATCATTTATTTATGAGTTCTTAGTTATATTATCGATAAAGTAATTAAGGGGTTTAAATTAAATAACCTCTACAGTTTTTTTTTAGCAATAAAATTCTATAATTCTCTAAGTCTGTAGGGTCCCAGCCCATCTCTAGCATCAAATACCTCTTATTCATTTTTAATTTTTAAATTTATATAGACAAGATATAGATAAAAAAAATACCTTTTAGTTGTAGAGGAAAAGTGGTAATGTGGTCTGAGCAACTATAGACACCCATATGAACCTTATTATGTAAGTGTTCA